CAAAACTGATGATTTAGGTATTAAATGTGTTATGTTTTTAACGCTGGAGTATTAAAATGACACAAAAACTAAACGTTAGACATTATTTTAAATAAAAAATTAAAAATTTAGATACTAAAATAGACCAAAACTGATAATCTAAGTACTAAATGTATAATTTATCCTTAACATACGACGGAAGTATAGACCAACTCATCAGACTGATTGCAAGTTCATTATAATCAAATTACATGCTTGAGGAACATTTTTGTCTTTTTACAACATCATAAAAAGTCATGCTTAGAAATTAAATTATATTTGCCAAATTAACAATCAACTCATTTAAAAAAAATTATACAAAATTTTTAGTTAATAAATTGCATCAAATCTAAGTAAGAAAGACCAAATTGAAAATGAAGAGTGAGATTGTTAGCCTAAATTGTGAAAAACAGACTACGTATGGATACATGATCTAAGTGTTTGATAGGAATGCAGAAACAAATTTCATTTAGTCCAGAAAATTGAATGTTTGCTTAATTCATTTTTCATATGATCACAATATCAAGACATATATATATATTTAAGCAAATATTAATTATTTGACAATAAATACTTAAACACCCCTATAAATAGCGTATTCAAATCCGAAACCCTTAAAAATAACGATTATTATTTAACCACGAGTTCACTTAATTATTGTACAAATCATAATTTTAAGTATGCAAAAGTTTTGATAAAAGCAATTATATCCATTGTTTATAAATTATAATTTTGTTTATATTTTTATTTTTGTTATTTCTTCATAGAATGTCGGGGAAAAAGGAATTGTTCGACATTTGAACTTACGTAATACCAACCGAGACCTGATATCAATTAATTGTTTATAAATTATATTATTTTATTATGGGCAAAATTTATTTTAACTTTCAATCTTTTAATTTTATCGATTAAATTATCTATATATTGCAAGTTAAACTATCAATCACTAATATTTAATGAAAGATTTGATATGATTGACTGAAAATAATATAATTATACATTTAATCTTCAATATCTATATATTTTATTAATTTAATCATAATTTCTATTTAATTTCATAAATTTCATCCTTAAATAGATGATGATTTATATCACCATCCAAATCTTATGCAACATGCTACATATTAACATATATTTTACAGATGCATCCAATAAAGTTTTGTACTTTGTAGGGTTTATTATACATGTAACTTGCTTTTCATTGAACTTGATAAGCACATACTTAACTTTTTATCGTTTAATCCAAAAAATGAAATAATAATAATTAGGATTAATTTTGTATTATATGAAAATTAGAAAAATAATTATGAAATAGTTAAAAATGAACCAAAAAGCCACAAAAGGAAATCCTACTCATGACGGCACACATTTAACAAAGTTTATAACCCAACCCAATAACGTTTGCACGAGTCCAAACATCTAATCTGAAAATCAATCGTCACCGTTGATTTCCTCCTATAAGAAAACTCACTAGGGTTTTGATTATACCACATTTCTCTTGATTCATCAATTCAGCCAGGCTGCTTGCAAACCCTCGAGTTCAAAGCCATGGTAACACTCATCCTCTTGACACTCATTGTTCATTTTATTTTGTTTTATGATAATTTAGCTTCGCGTATCTGTATTTGTATCTCCTTGCGTATATTATTTATCTTCATTTTATACTGTCAGATATTTGCCAAGGTTTTGTTTGCGAAATGAATCAATCGAATCAGTTTAAAAGATGTCGTTTCGTTTAAACTTGAAAAACTTAATGTTAGTAAGCTTCAATACAGTGTAAAGTGTTTTTGAAAGTGAAGAGCATGGTAGATGGGAATTATATAGGTTCTTTTGCTTTTTGAGATGTTTATGGTATATTCTGTCTGAGTTTTCTCGTTTTTTTACTTTTATGGTGCAGCCTTACGTTAAAGCTCAAAAGTCTAAGGCTTATTTCAAGAGATTTCAAGTTAAGTTCAAGAGAAGGCGAGGTATTATGATAATGCCTGTTCAGATTAGTGCTTTTCAGATGCATTACTTGGTTTTGATCTCTTAACAATTGCTTATATCTTGTAGAGGGCAAGACAGACTATCGAGCAAGGAACCGTCTCATCAATCAGGACAAGAACAAGTACAACACCCCAAAATATCGTTTTGTTGCTCGATTTGTATCCTAATTTCAGACTGATGTTTTTCTCTGCATTATCATTTGGTTTGCAATGTTGGTCCCAAACAGCAATTGTTTGTGTTATTTGTAATGAATAATCTGTCGGTTGGTTTCTTGAGATATACTCTTAAGATAATAGAGTGGTAGACAATTTTCTTAGGCTGCTAAATGTGCTGAAAAAAATTTCATTATTCTTTATTCGCTATGTGGTTTTTTATCCTACCTTTTAGGCTGCTAGTTAATATGTTAACCTTAATACATTTATTAGACCAACAAGGATATAATTGCCCAAATTGTACATGCTAATATTTCTGGAGATATAGTTCTTGCTGCAGCTTATGCACATGAGCTTCCTCGCTATGGACTTGAAGTTGGCCTTACCAACTATGCAGCAGGTATAATTTACATTCCTAGACATTAAAATGATATTTTTCTCCTGGTTGTGGATAGTATCTTATTCAATGATGTACCAAACACAGCTTATTGTGTTGGACTCCTTTTGGCTCGCCGAACACTGAAGCAGCTGGAGATGGATTCTGAATACGAGGGCAATGTTGAGGTATGTCATGATTTCTAAAGGGTGGAGATGTGTTGTTTTTTTTTTTTAATTTCTGAATGATAGTAAGTAGTTGAAATTGCTTTTGTAACTTTCTTACAGGCAACTGGGGAGGACTTTAGTGTTGAACCAGCAGAGACCAGGAGGCCTTTCCGTGCTCTCCTTGATGTAGGCCTTGTCAAAACCACCACTGGTAACCGTGTTTTTGGTGTTCTCAAGGTATGTTGGAATCCATTTCTACACAATTTACATGGCCTTGGGCCAAACTTTATTCTTTGTTATTTCTTCCAACTATTGTATTCTTTAAGTTACTCTCATCCTAGATAGCTTTCATTCAGACCCACATGCTTTTTTCTATGAGCATGGTTTTTTTCTCGAGGTTAGGCTGTTAGTGAAAATAATAATTTTGTGCTGTGGGCTAACATAAGTGCTGCAAATGATTATTTTAGTTTTTATTTTAAATATAATAGCTGGACCATCTCTCTATTCGGTTTTTCCATGTAGTTATTCTTTGCATTTCCTTCTAGGGAGCTTTGGATGGAGGGATAGATATTCCTCACAGTGAGAAGAGGTTTGCTGGATTTAACAAGGATAGTAAGCAACTTGATCCTGAAGTTCACCGCAAATACATTTACTGTGGCCATGTTGCTTCATACATGAGGGTGGGTTTTGTTATTTCGAGCACTGTTTTATTTAACATGCATGTGCAAGGCTCTAACTTTGTCTAGTTGACAGACTTTGATTGAAGATGAGCCAGAGAAGTATCAGTCTCACTTCAGTGAGTACATAAAGAGAGGCCTTGAGGCTGAAAGCTTGGAGGGAATGTACAAAAAGGTTCATGCTGCAATTCGTGCAGATCCAGCAGCTAAGAAATCTGAGAAGCCACCTCCCAAAGAACACAAGAGGTATAACTTCAAGTTATTTGATATCTCCTGGCAATGCATATGTAAATGTTATACAGTCAACTAAGCCAAGCAAGGCTGAAGCCTCCAATCTAGCTTTTTTATAATTCCCTGAATGTTGAGATATAATTTGGCTTTCAAGAATTTCAAGTCTGATGGAATTTGATCTGCGTACAATAGGTACAACCTGAAGAAGCTGTCTTATGAGGAAAGGAAGGCCAAGTTGATTGATAGGTTGAAAGTTCTCAATTCAGCTGCCGGAGTCGAAAATGATTCAGATGATGACGAGTAAGACTCGGGAGCTGATAATGTTGCCTGAGGATTGGGATATGCCGAGTGGACTTGAAATTAAGATATTGGGCTTGTTTTACCCCTTCTGCTTTTCTTGTGCTGCAATTTACTTAGAAAACCTCGATCTTTGCTTGCTTTTTTTAGGGATGATGACGAACTGGCTATTTCTGTGTCGTAATCTTTGTTGTGATTGCCTTTCAAATGGATTTCCTTTGCTATTTTTTCATTCACGCCTTTTTTTCAAGTAGCTATTATCGATGGAAGTTTTAGGAAAGAAGATAGATTTGTAGGGTTTAGTTGGTTAAGTTAGTTGAATTGAATCTGGTTTAGATTTAATAGGAAAAAAAAAGGGAGAAACCGAGTCAGGTTCTTTCAGGTTTCGATTTAGTTTGGTCTCTACATGTTTTCTTTGATTCTGAAGATAGATTTGCATGTTTTTTTTTAAATTTATTTTAAACCTTATAAGTGTTACTTATGATTATGTAATTATTATTAATAATTTTGATAGTGGTGGTAAGATAAAATAGATAGTTTTGTTATTAAAAAGAATATTAATATATAGTAACAATAATACAAATTGGTTTTGTCAATAAATCAAATGCTTTAATAATATCTTGTCACTGGTAAAAGTATGACAATGTGGTAATAAAATTCGTTGATCTAATTGTGTTGTCCTTTAACGGAATGAAATGATATGTGTGAAAATTTATACTATAAGAATAAACCATTACAAAATACAACTATTATATGTTGTCCACATATAATAAAACTTAAATCAGATTAAATTTAAACCAATAACCCACATTATATTTAAGACGCCCAAAGTTCTCGAGATCTCAAAGTTATTTAAATTTAAAAGAAATTGAATATTGAAATTCAACTAACTTGAAAACTCTCGCACTTTCCTCAATTGGACAACTAAAATGAAATTTAAAATTGAGACAAAATTAGACAAGTATTTGTCTACATAACAAAATCATAAGAAATCACCTTATTCGAGGTTGCCTAGGGTCAACATTCTATCTAGATAATTTTTTTTTTAGTATGAAATAATTATAAGATAACACACGTTCAGAAAATTTTTAACCAATTGATAATAAACATGCACACCCTATAGCCACCAGTAGCTAGTTACAAACATAAAAATACAATGGGAAATCATTCCATCACCACATCTGCATCATCATCAGCATCCTCCATCTGTTCATCATCACTCCCCCACTCTCCTTCCTGCAGCCATTGTTCTAGTTCGTCCAACTCCTCATAGTCATGCATGTATGAACCATCCAAATTGTTCCACGGATTGGTCCCTAGTTCCTCGCCATGGCAAGCGACATGCAAGTATGGTCTATTCCTGGCCAAAGCATCTACGATATCTCTGTTTAAACTCCCCATCACACCTAGCCATCTCAATATCGGAAAATATGGTTTCTTCAACCATCGGAATGAAAGTTGGGTAATGCCACCACAGTTGTAAAGATCCAACAATCGCATATTACTACCATGTCCTCTTTCATCGTCTACCTGCATCGAGGCTAGTGCCATGACTGAAGTATCACCTATGAGTGGACATTGTCGCAATCGAAGTTCAGAAATTGGAACCCGACTTTTTGCAAGAGCTAAAACTCCATTATCAGAGAGATTAGGAAGATTCGATAGGTCCAGCTCTTGCAATTGCAGTTTAGAAGAGCCATCAAATAGCACCGAGATGCATTTATCTGTAAGTTTCTTGCATCCTCTAACAGATAACGAAATCAATGAGCTAATAACGCCATGGCGTAAGTATGCGATTCCTACATCAGTTATATCGGAGTTGTCCAACTGTAACATCTTCAATTCGCAGAGAGAGCTGATAGCATGTAGGGCTTCGTCCCCAAGGTTTTTGCAGCCTCTCAAGTCGAGAACTTTGAGATCAGTGTTGCAGACTAAACTCCTGATGGCATGGTTGGTGAGAAGATTACACCATCTGAAGCTAACATGAGTCAAAGAAAGGGAAGTTGCAGCAATGTCATGAAAAACCAGATCGGTCAACTGGGATCCGTGGCAGACCTTAAGCTTGTATAGGCTTGAACAAGCATGCAGAATTGTCTTATACCCTGAATCCGTTACACGACAAAAGCCACCAAGGCAAATGCTTTCCATGTTTGCACACTTGTCAGCCATAAGTAGGATCCCGAGATCATTAACTCGCTTAAAGTAAGTACTGAGGAACTCTTGGCTCCTAACAAGAGACAGATGTTTTAATCTTCCATGCTGATTGATTGTTGAAGGCCGGAGTTGGTAAGATCAAACGTAACTCTTGGTTCTATGACGGGTGCATCTCGAAGTTCCAAGTGTGTCAATAATGCGAGACCTTTCGATATCGTACTGACCATCGTATCTGTAATACAATCTACAGCAAGCGATAATTTTTGGATGCTAGGCAATATTGATGGTTGAATTTGATTCGGATACTGATGAGATCCAACATTAGGGCTAAGCAGTTCAGTCACCATAACTGAAGAAATGTAGCCAATCTCAAGAGAAGTGAGTTTTTCCGAAGCTAAAGCCCAAACCCGAGCAAAGTTATTCCGAAGAAATAGTGACAAGTCAAACATCAGATTCAATTCCTGGCACATAGTTGAAAAGGAAAAGGAATACTTATCAAGTGGCATGCTTCAAGTAAATAGAAAATATGCATAAAAATTCTGCCAGTGTACCGAGTACAATTTGCACATAAAACATATACAGTTTTAATGCCAATAAGCAACCAATTATCAGAATCATCAATGAGAAAGCAAATGCACCCACCCTGGTAAATTTAGGAACTAAATGAATATTTACTTTCAATCAAACAGTTTTCAGTGCCAATAAGCAACCAATTATCAGAATGGTCTATGAGAAAGCAAATGCACCCACCCTGGCAAATTTGGGAACTAAATAAATATTTCCTTTCAATCATCTATATAGATATGAATGATCTATTGGCTTCAAATATGGTAATCTGAAAGTATCAAGACAAGACATATAAGTTCATTCCATAGAAAGGCTAAATGCATTTCCATATATTCAAACAGTAAAGCTTGGTGGTTTCTTTAGAAGTCAATAATCCCATGTTGGTAGGTATTGAAGAGATTATTTCTTGAAAAAGACAGCTTAGCGGAATTTAAAGCCATTCTGGAGATTTGTTGGGACACGGAATTTCAAGCCATTTTGATGATTGGTTGAAATTAGAAGATGATCAATGATGGTTGACAGATTGAGTGTTGACAAGTGAGAAAGAGCTTGCACTATAAAAGGGAGACTCTCGTTTGTTCTAGGCAAAGGGAGTGAGAAGAAGTGCGAAAAGAAAAGGAAAGGGAACCTTTGAGTTGCTCTGAATGCTTTCAGGGCACAGGGTTTGGTTGTGTACCCACCAACAAGGCAGTGGAAACTACATGTGATCTTCAATGAGTGATTTTTGTAGTGAGGTTTATCCATTGCTATGAAGTATTCCTTGAAAAGGCCAAGCATTTATTGCCGCCGCTTTTAGTCCAAGGCTAACCCTTAAGAGGTGCTAAACTGGCTTTCAAAACCAGGCATACAACATCATCAACAGAATCATAAGCAGATGTCTTGAATCTAGAATTTTTTTTTCTCTGAAAAGTAGGAAACTACAAATTCTAGGTCTTATGAAACTCTTCCCTTCGAGCTTTCTCATTTTCTTCCTGATTAGTTGCCTTTGATCATTGAATTAAAATACTAGGGACTTATCTAGTCTAGACCAAAATCACTAACCGGTTCCATCTTTATGATTAACAAAAATTTCAATTAACCTTTCATAGACTTCTACACCGTTCTCATTCATAATCATTACTTTCACAGACAAGCCTTCGAGAAAATTGCCAACCTGTCTGGTTCTATCTTTACGTTTAATGTATTAACAATATTTCCTTTAATCTTGCACTAATCTTTTACACCTTTTGTCTCATTCATTACCTTCAGAAATAAAGCCTACAAGTAAACCACTAATTGGCTCCATATTTAGGTGTAATGTATTAACAAAAAGTTGTCTTTAATCTTTCATTAATCTTTTCCTCATTCATTACTTTCATAAATAAGCCTTACTTCTAATTGCGAGCAGCCACTGAGTAATTCCTCCAGATCAGAAATAAGTACCCTCCGACCCCTTTTCTCGGCCACTGACCCAAGTAGAGAGACCTGAACGAAAGTTGACATATAAAGCTAATGATAACATCTCTTTAAGTGGTAACAAATCGGCATCATAAATCTAACACCAAAGCTTTCTGCAACAAAGTAAATAGTATCTAACAAGGAAAAAAATATATATTTATATTCACCATGAAAAGATAAATGCAGGCCTCAATCAAAGTATATGTACCTTATATCCTTGCAACGTGATCCGATTTCGGAGAGTACTTTTCCACTAAAATCTGAACAATTGTGCAAGCAAAGTTCATGTAAAGAAGGTCGAAGTAATAGCTCAATGGATGAATCATTAAGCTGACCACAATCTAGCTTTAAGCTTTTAAGGTGAGGATTTGGTGGCAACAATGGCTTCATTAGTCCCATAGACGGTGAGATCTCCTGCCAAATTGTCAAAAAAAGAAGAAGAGGTTTTTCATTTGATTATGGTGGATCCGGCAAATGTTGTCATTCACAATCAGCAGAATCCAAATGAAATGACAATGAATTTCTTTCAACGAGTAAAGAGACAACTAAAGATCCAAAATTTCGATGCAAATAAACGGGGAAATGAAACTTACAAGGATGTGAAAATTGGGAAGAAAAGAGAGGATATGAAAAGCACAGGAATTGAAAGTCCTGCATGTGACGGCCAGTGAGCAGATGGAAGAGATGTCGAGCTTGGTCATGATGGTAGCCAAAAGGGCCGTCGGCAACTGATCCAGGCTCTCCACGCTCCCACTCGCCATCCCCTTTTTATCTTTCAGTTTAATCTGTTTCTTGAGATTTTTTTGACTAAGAATTCGATCTGGGTATCTGAGTATTTCCTATTTTGACTAAGAACTTGATCTCGGTGTTTGGGTATTTGCCATTTTCTTCATTTTTCTTAGGGCAGGCAGGAGGAGGAAGATTCACGGAACAAGATGAGGTTCTCGAAAACTACGGCGCATGTTAGATGTCGCCTCCCAACATAACATGATAGATTGGTAATATTATTTTAATTGATAAACTACACATTTAGTAACCTACGTTGATTCCATTTTAATCATTTAATTATTTTCTATTTTATATTAAACATTATATTTCTATTCTATTTTGATTATCCGTACTTAAGAAATAAGTGTTCAAAATTGAACTGTAAAAATAAATGGAGGACTAAATGCACAGTTTATCCTATTCTAATTTTGTAAGTTATTTCGGATATTGTGAGTTCTCTTACCTTTTCCTTAAAGACAACGTGGAATATTTATGGACCAATTAAATACAGTAAAAACTATAATTATACAGCAATGTATTCCTACAACTCCCGTATTAAACCGAGCCATTACTTGGCTCCTAGAAATAATTACGTTTTATTTTTAATTAATCTAGTTTATGTTTTTTCCTTCATTTCCTCTTTTGTTTTTATTTCATTTATTTTATCGTTTGTAGTTGTTAAATCTCATATCATTCATTAAGTTAACGTCGCGTCTCAAATTTCATTATTATCGTTAAAAAAATTAATATAACATCTTGAATTTTAACAAATTTTTGTTATTAAACTTCTCGAGAACTTAAGTTATATCCGATTAATTATCATATGTGGGAATTAATCACCCGGGTCTAGTACCTAGTATTAGAGGGACTGATTAGCATCAAAGGCAGTAGGAAGGTAGAAGTAAGGATTAAATTGAATAAAAAGTGGAATTAGAAGGAAAGGGGAGGACTAAACAAAACAAGGGAGAAGATATGATGGTTTTATGAAGAAATAAAACCAAAATTTAAGTATGTCATAATCGGACGGTTATTTTATCCCATTTGGTTCATTTCTTTCTTTTTGTTCACTATCATCAAATTTTCTCAATTCTCTCTTAATTTCTCAATACCCAAACATTTCTAATCAAGAGTTCACAAAACCAAACCTAAATTCATATCTATGTTAGTATCATCATTTCTTTCCTAATGTTACCTTTTACAACTAATTCTGTTCTTTTGAACCTTAAAATGAAGACCTAGACCTTGGGATTTTAAAAGATTGTTGAGCTATCGTGTTAATCCCGATGTTCATTTGGAGTTTTAAATCATTATTAAATCATTTGCAAACAATAAATCATATTAAGCTTCACTTTAGCGCAACTTTTAAAAAGTGATTTTTAATTATGATGTAGAAACGGATTTTTAAAAGCGTTGTATAAAAGTGTAATTTAAAATTTAATTATTTGGGATTATTGTTAAAAAATGAGTTTGAAAATATAAAATGTCCGTTATAGATATTATGCTATAAATTAAAAATATAACATTTAAATTATATTTGTAACACCCACATGCCGATACGGGTGGCCCGATCCGATTCAAGGTGTCACATTAGGGCCTTCGGAGCGACCCATTGTAAAAATCCCAGAAAATTCAAAATTTTTTTATTTAAAACATGTAAAATCATAAAACAATTTATTAAAAAAATTAACAATATTCAGAAATAAAACAGATTCCGAACTCAGATATAAAAACAAAATGCAAGTTATATGCCCATTAATCACATGCACCGTACTCCGCAAGCAACGCCGATAGAACTCTCTTATTGAAGTCGATAGTTGCACTGATTTGATCTTTTCTACTTGAAATATGAGTAAAAGAGTGAGCTTTGGGAAGCTCAGTAATACAATATTACCAATTGATGCTACATGACATGCAAATAAATGGAAAACAATAAAATTTCCTTATTGATTCAGGTGTACACAAGTTTTCAGGATGAGCTGGGGTTCTACTGGTAGTTCATCGAGTGAAAGTCATAAAGTTCTCAGTACATAGGAAATATTCAGAGAACCCTATTTTTAGGAGATTAAAATAGGATGTCTAGTGTGTTCCAACAAAAACCAATGAAAGAATATATATATTTTTAAAACAATAACCGTTTAAAAATATTTTCAAAACCAAAATAAAACCCTCTAACCGAACACCGTTATGCAGTTCCATATAACTGCATCCATAAGGGCTTACCCTAAGCACACATAAAAATGGAGCCATCCTAAAGGAATGTCTTGGGGCATATGAGCCTACCTAAGGGTATCCTTAGGTCCGTAAGGATTTACCAGCTTGATCAGAGTTGAACCTCCATACTCCAGAATCCTACCCATACAATATCCAGTAGAAATAAGATTTAACAATAACAGTAAGATCTGGACAACCATCCAGTAAAATCTCATAAGAGTGACAATGAAGTAAACCATATAACTGTCCTCAACCCGTACACCATATGTAGTCCCATGAGTAACCCAAGGGGAATGCCTTGGGGCTTGAGAGCCTACCCAAGATAGTTTCTCGGGACCTTAGAGCTACCCAAGGATCACCTTAGGCTTGTAAGGATTTACCAGCTTGATCAGAGTTGAACCTCTATATTCCAGTCTACCCAAATAATGTCCTAATAAAACAATTCAAGTAGTAACCAATAGATTTCATGATCCATAAATTAGTAACGATCATAATTTTTTAGTGAAAATAGGAAACCCGATAACACATTTCAGATAACCATAGTTCATAAAACCAGTAGATCAGGAAATCAGTGATTTCGGAAAATCACATTTAAAACCAGTAAAACATTTACATGTTGTATAAGGAACACAGTAGATGGTCCAAATATTATTATTCGAAGATACTTGGTAATTTTCAAGCAAGGGATCATGAAATTTTAGTAATTTAATAAGATTTCAAAATCAAGATCCCTAAAAAAGGTGGTTTGATAGTTGACTGATTCATCATTTATTTGAGAAATGGTTTATCAAGATCATATTGTATTCAGATATAATTCATAATCAACTGAGTATCAAGAAGGCGTTCATAATCGTTTACATCGGGATTATTGAAGATTTAGACATAACATGAGTGTTTTCAATATTCAGGCAAATCAGAGGCATTTTAGACATTTGGTTCTTGAAGAATTATTAGTAATTTAATCCAATAAGGGAATAACGATGACTAATGCCAATTTATTAGGATACCAGATTGACTCAAACCGATCATCTTCAAAACCTTCGTTGAACGAAGCTTGAGGAACTCTACTTATTCCGATGGTATTAGCTCAATTTATGAATTGCAATAATCTTCAACCTTTTAGGGGTAATACAAAACTCGGGTTTTCTCGGTATTTCTAGAATTTATCTAATAACCTTCACTTATTTCTAGGTCATGAGGGTATTTAGGTCATTTAATAGTCAAATCCATCTCAGTCACTTCAGAGCTTCCAGAGAAATTCAGACGTTTCTGAAATTCGAATACATATGATACTTCCATTCAATTCAACTTGGTCATTTGGAATTCGAGGTTGAATTATTCATTTAAGAGTTGAAGGGTTTTTAGTTATTCTAGTGCTTAGTCATTCTTTAAGTCATTATACACTTCCATATATTCCAATACCGATCCATATTTTAAATCGATGATTATGAGGTTCAAGTGGATCAAGACTTAATTTTTTAGGCCATCTCCCTTATCATAGCCATCATAATCATTTTTACATTTTAAGTGTATTATCGCCATTTCATTTAATTATATCAGTAGCACTACTCCCGATAATTTAGGCTTCAAAATATTATAGTTCCTTTAAAGTTCAGGTTATTTTGGTCTTTGAACAAATCGAGGTTATTTCGTAGCTCGAGGTCATTTCGGTAATTCCTTTCAATCCAAACAATATGTATTTTTATGATAATTTGTCAAGTTTGTCCTTTCTAGGTTATTCTTCACCATCAGGGGAAGTTATGGTCTTTTACAATACAAGGGCATTTTCGTATTTTTACTCTATAGAGCTATTTTGGTAATTTCTTATCCAAATAATCCCGATATTTAACCTTTAAAGTAATTTATCAAAATTTACGGATCTTGAAACCAATTCATTTACTATTGAGTCACTGACCTTATAATTTTTTCCGATTAATCTTCCAATTTCTCTTTATCGAGTCGTCTGAGTCTTATACCGTGTTCTGTCCTTAATCCAATTTACGTCTGAGTCCAATGATAATTAAATACATCTAATGGACCAATCATTTCCATTCATGCAATTACCATATATCAATGAGTTCCAAAAAGTATACAAGAAAACAGTAGAGTATTACCTCGGTTTTTGTACCATATTAATCAACCATTTAAATTCTATTCGATCGCCTTCGAACTTTAATTTAATGTCCAATAATTCCTCGGATACAAAGCAATCGAATTTACGACAGAAACTGAACTTAATTGAGAAATTAATTTGAATCCGAAGATAAAACATTGAAAAATGGCTTACCAGATGCGAATTTGACAAAACTGACTTCATATTCGGACTCATGACGTCGAAAAACATAAAATATGACATTTTCGAAAAAGTCGACTTTTTGGGTCAAAGTCAACGAGTTGACTCAGTTTGGGTTGACTCGATCGGGTGACCTAGACCCAGTTCAGACCGATTCAGTCTGACTGGACCGATTCTTGAAACTTCTTGGACCGGCGGAGGATCCCCATGCCCATTGTCAACGCGTGCGACAGCGACAAGGGCTATTTTGATCGGCCGATTACTCCCTGATTAAAAAATCATCATAATCGATCCAAATCAACCTTAATCATCAACCATAATGGTGTAAAACTATTGAAAAAAATAATCCGATTACCCTTAACGGCGAACGACGATTGCAATGGCGGTAAGCGACGTCCTGACCAAGTTTTGGTCGAAAGAACATCGAGAATTCAACGAGGGAGGCGGTGTGATGAATCGACGATCGTGGTGGTTGGAATCATGAAAAACTTTGGGTATATTTTTTTTCCGTTGAAGCTGTCGAAGGCTACCCACGACGAACGACATCCACTTTCGTCGATCTGGTGGGTGGGTTTTGATCGGGCTTTAATGGTGCTTCGCTTGGGGGTCGGTGTCGT